TTTAGACTTTCATAAAGGCATTGCTCTCTCTTCTCTTCAGAACTTCCTATTCTTGTACATCATTTAATTACAATGTAGCAGATAAAATGCTGAAGAAGATGGACAGTTTTTATCCCAGAAAGACCACATGTAATTCTAAGTCATGTCAGGGTGAAATTTGAAGGAGAGAACCAGGATGAGAAGAAGAAGAAAAAAAAATTCCTAAATCACCATATAAATGGCAAGTAGGTATTAATAATTAGTACTGGATGAGACACTACTTTTATCATAAAGCATTTAGAGATCATATATCCATGCACTTTCTTGAAATTTAAAAAAAAATATGGCCCTCAGGTTGATAACATTTACACCTCAGAATTTACTAATCAAATCATCATCCCACCAGATGCTTTACTAAACAAAGCTTTTGTGCCAAATGGAAAAGCACAATCAGTTGTTTAAAATGGCTTAGGCTTAATTTTTTTTCCTCACTCATCGTGTATATGTGTTAGGCGAACCTAAGTGTAATTTACTGTATTACCCTATATTTTTTGTTAATTTTTGGTCAATATAAGCATACACAATATCAAATATTAATTGCAAGTGTGAATACAGAAAATGAATCAAATGTATTACTTTTATTTGAGTACTATACCCCTAGAAAAGATGGTACATTACTAATCTTAAAGAAAACACATTCTTATTTATCTTCAAACTTGATTAACCACAGACAGAGCTGCTTTAGGAAAATTATAAAGCACACTGTATATGATATATAAAACAAAATAAATTATAAAATTGGGGTTTGGAACTCTCTCTACATTGCTTTGAAATATAGAATTTAAAATGAGTTACTTAAACCTATTTGAAATTACCATTATAATAAATTTATTTTTTTGCCTACTAGAAGAGAAAAGGAGGCATTATGACTGTGTTGGTAAGATATGAAGCAGAAGAAAAAAAATATGCACGGATTAACAAACTAACAACATATAAAGTAAAATCAATACATAAACAAAATGTTATATTAATTGAAGATTCTTGATTAAAAAAGAAAATTTTCATAGGTAAAATCTAATTTTTCATTCTTCTGTTAATGAAACACAAGCAATTAATGGAATGGAAATTTTGATCTAGTTCTGCTTCGTATTTTGAATCAGACCATTGGGGATAATTGGCTTCAGGAACTTGAACTCATTTGTCCCTGACTCTCCCATCAGACACACCTCATACTGGTAGCTCTGGG